TTAGCCTGAGTGTTTAAGCTGTAATGAAGTTGATGCCTTCAGAGTTTTGTGTGAAAGACTGCAAAATGCCTTTGCTTATACAGTGAAGTATAAAAGTCTTATTCTAAGTAAGTCCTTCAGGCTTCTTTTTCTTTTACAAAATACCTGACTACATTGTGGCTTCTGTGTGTTATTTAGTCCTGTGTATGTAGCAGATAGTTTCAGAAATATTTATCGACATCAGTGTCCAGCAACATTTAAATAGCTAGAGAAATATCTAAAATTTGAACAGCATTTCTAGGTTGCAATTGGGCATTCTGCTTTTCCCTATGACAAGATGAGCAGTCCAGATTTTAATTTGTGAATTTAAAATTCAAATTTGCAAAAATGTTCTTGCATGTGAAGTTTTTGTGCCCATGCTTCCCCACATACTCAAATGATATAGAAAAACAAATATTGAAGTACATTCATCAATGTCAATGTGATTAAAAAGGCGTGCAAAAAATATGCTATTCTTTACAAGCAGTGCAGTAGCTCTTATGGCATCTTTTGCAGTTTGCAAGTATTCTCCAGGCTGGAAACTAGAAAGAGGTTGTGTTATTTGCAGCCAAGTCTGCAGAAAACTAGCTGCAGAGTCTTCAGAGGAATGCAGAATGGTACTCCAGCACTTGTTTTTTTACTAATTAGGGAATATTCTTTCATTAATTGTGAACCTAGGAGCCCGACAGTTTCAGAAAGTTCCTGCACTGACAGTTGTTGAAAATGGAAGCCACTGTAGCTGCATGCAAATAAGGGGAGAGAAAAAGTCTCTTAATGAAATTGGATTGATCAAGTAAAGGGCTGGAAAGCTGTGGGACCTTTGGGATTTGGAAGGTGTGTACTTTCTTATATGATACAAAATGAAGCAGAAACCTGATTAGTAAGTTCCTTTAACCTATTTTTATTTAAAATTCAGGCAGAACAGAAATGGGATGCAGGAGCTAAACTCTCCCAGTTCAATTAGCACAGAAAGGCGAAGAGCCAAGGTTTTCCTCACCAAGGTCTTCAGGGGCGATTCTCAGGTTTCCTTTTTCCAGCATAGCCAGATGTATTCTCCGCACAGGGCCCAGAGTTGTAATTTCTAGTTCGTAGTTGAATACTGGTCTGCGTCTCTACTTCTTCTCCAAACATACTTTATCTTTCCTTGGTGTGATGCTCTGCATGTATTTGCAGAATCTCTATAGGTTTGGGTGTCTCCACACACTAGGAGAACTCAGTAGAGCTACATGAATAATGGATATTTTGGTTCAGTGGCTGAACCAAATGGTCGGGGAAAAATGCAGTTTGGGTAGACTAGAAAGGAAAATATGTTTTGCTTAATGTTCAGGTAATTTAACCCATTTTTTTGCACCTTTTTTCTTCAAATTAAAAAATGTGGTTTCTTTCAGAAAAGAAAAAAAGCACATTTGAAAGAGAAGGGTGAGAGCATTTTAAAAATGTCAGAATAAACTATGTAAATTTTGGCGAACTTGTCCCTAAGGTGACTTTGGCCACTGCTGAAAGGGCTTTAGATGCTAGCCCATTCTGAGACAAACCACCACCAGCATCCAGCCTGGACATTTTCAGAAACCTGGTAGGTAGAGGAATTTGTCCTAGGAGACCTAGAAAAGGAGACCCCTGCAAAGAGTCAGTCTCCTCGTAGAGACTCGGGCTATGGGTATCCTCTCTGGGTATTAGATAGAGCCTGCCAAGAAAAACTGTTCTGTTACCATTGGCAAGCTATTAACATTACAGAAAATTTCACAAAGAGGGAAACTTTATTCCTTCTCAGGACAGCATCATGGTCTAATCTGCAGTCTCACTTAATCACTATTTGGGACACTAAGAGGAAATGAAGGGATAGATTGGCCCACTCCTCGCCCAAAACACAGTTTCCCCAGTATGCAAAAGCTGCCCTCCATTATGCAAACATTACTTGGCTCTAGTATACAGACATTAAACCAAACTATATTTACATAGGTTGAAACTGAGCTGCCTCAAATGAAAAGGCTATCGTGTTTAATCTAGTTTCGGCACAGCCCCAACCTGCAGTGCGACCTGCCTTCCCAACGCAGCCCTGCTCCACATTTCTCCTGGGACCTTGTTGTTCAGCTTGAAGTCCTTGTGGGAGCACTTTGACAATCTCTTCATAGCTTTTTTTACCTCACCTTGAATTGGAGGCCCATATTCATTTTTACTAAGTCTTTTTTTAAATTCAGACTTCCACTGAAATCAAGGGAATTTTGACTGGCTTTGAATAAAGTGTTACAGAGTCAGAAAAACATCTCATCTCTTAAAAACTCCTTATCTTCACCTTCCTACCTTCGTCAGGGCCTGGCATGCTGGGTAGGATCTTGCAAGTCAGTGTGGAGCGCAATGATTAAATTAGACATCTGAATGTATTTGGAAAAGAACTGCAGCTCAGACCCTCAGAGACATCATTTTGCGCTGGCTATACAGGGAATTTAAGCCTTTACTCTAGGGGTATTAGTTCCTTACACATCTAATAAATAGGTAGGTGCAAATTAGATGCCTAACTCGGATGAAGGTGATTACTTGGTCTGCAGACAGGAAATCACAGTAACAAGCACAGGTGAGCTGTGCTTAACATGGTTCTCATTCTACTATGCTTCTAAAGTTTCTGTTTTGCTAACATAAATGTTGTAGAAACTGGGTTTATACTCAGCATGGTCATTAGGTCCTATCATATTACCCTTTTAAATACATACACAGACAGCGTTTCAGAGTGGTTTGAGCCTTGGTTTATGTACACAGCTTGCACATTTAATCCATGAGAGCCACGATAGCAGAGCACACATCACGCCTCCTTCCCGAGCAAGTCCAGGGAGACATAGGGAGGTCTTTCTGTAGCCTAACTGTAGTGATATTAACTTGGTCTGCAGACATTTAATCCAGTCTTTAATGTCCCACCTTGTGCCTAAAGATCAGCCTGGAGTCCACTGTCACATGTTTTGGCTACTTCCCTAGCTAGTATGCAAGCGTAAGTGTGGCTGGGAAGGCGGCAATACACAAATGCAATTGACTGTTGTTGGAACGGATGCATTGCATTTATCGTAACTAATGGGTCAAACCTGGCTACAGCCACCTGGTTTTGACCAGGTCAGAAGATGAATTATAACTGCACTTACTCTTCCATTAAAAGTTACAGGGGTTTTCCCTATGCATAATTTCTAGCAGCATACCAGCTGCTTTGGTATCCTGCATGTCTCGGGAGAAAAACAGGCACCTTAAAACACTAGGTAGGCAGATAATGTGGTCTCCTAACTCTGCTAACTTTAAAGCCTGAAGGTCTGTTGTTACGATTGCAGGATACAGTTGAGTATTTGAGATTTAAATAATTTGAGATTCAAATAATTTGAGACTCAAATAATTTGAGTCTCAAATTGGTTGGAACTACAGCAGATGAAACATTTCAGCTTCTCAAAGTTTTTTCTAAGCCTTTCTTTCTTCATTTTTATGTATGGAAAACTATAGGCCAGACTGACACACTGGAAGCAACAGCTGGCAAAGATGCAAAAGGGTAATTGAAACAGCTTTAAAAAAAGTTTAGAGAATATGTAGAGCAGTATCCCTGGGGGAGAAGCTGAACCATGATGTCGTTTGTGGGAAACTGCAAGGATGAGTTTTGAGACCACCCACAAAACAGGCAATTTTCAGCAACATCACTGCAGATTTTCAAATGTGTGAGATAGGAACCACATATTTCTCATCTGAAATAGGAAAGTGACTGACTGACTGATGTGCTGCTGATGATACCAGGACTGACAATGCAAGTCATTAATTTTAAAACCATAAAATATCTGGTTTTGATTTTACAGTTTCTGCCTACAAATAGATTGTGTGATTTTCACTAATTGTTGCCCAAGATACATTTAATAAAGCCCATAGTCTGTTAATGCGTGAAAAAATAATTTGTAGACTTTTTTTTTCATTTTTCAACTCACACAAATGAGAATTAATAACTCTGGTCTCAGAATTGCTAAGTGAATTGTCATATTTTCATGGATATAACCAGAAGATAAAAAGCCCTAGAATTCAGCAGTAGTTATGTATGCAAGGATCAAGAGAGGAAGTGTATCCAGAGTATCTCAATCTCCATCCCTTCCTTTCCCCAGAAGACTCCCTGAGCCTGCTTCCCCAAACTCTACCTCTGTTTTTGTGCCAGCTATCTGAGAATGAGGCCATTATCTGAGGATGAAGGTTACCTGAAAGTGCAAGTGCTGAGAGATATCAGGATGTACAGGATAATTGAGGGTTTACTTTCAAGTATTTGTACTTTTAAAGAAGGTCGGCTTTTATTCATGAAATCAGCTAATTTACTTAATTGCAAAAGCTGGGGTAAGAATTGATTTAGCCAGATAATGTGGCTGCTAGATCAGAAACTTCTGGAGTAAATCTAGGATATCTGCCTTTTGCCTTTGTGTCTTGCTATGCAACCCTATATCATCTCTGCTTGTTACTGTGATTTCCTGTCCTCAGACCAAAAAACAGCAAAGGTGATACATGGTGCCTCAAAGTAGAGCCAAACTGGTTTAGGGAGTGGCTAGGGCAGCTCCCTTTCCCTGCAGAGGTCACCTGGTTGAAGCCATCAAAACTATGTAGGTATAAATGAGACTTGGTCTAAGCCAGTTTGAACAACCAAAAGTCAACACTTTTAGCAAAGGAAAACAAGCAGTTGGCTGCTTTATAGGTTATTTACATTGTGTACATTGTGTGACTATATCAAAATCTGAAATCTGCAGTTGAGGATTACACTGGTGAATAAGTCAACACTTAGTAACATCAGCAGTAGCTATCCTCAGCACATTTTGTTGGTTTTTTTTTTTTTCTGGTTGTAGCAATATTTCATATTCCTGGCCAGGATCAAGAATATTTCTAGAAATGTGCACTTCAAGTACCCCTGCTTAGCTCTAGGTTCATTTTGGCTGGGTGCTGCTTTCTGTCTTTCCTTCTAATTTTTCTTGTCCTTTTGTTTTCCCCAGCAGAGGTGATGGTGACAAGAACAAGCAGCTGCCAGTCAGACAGCAGTGGGTTCATGGAGGAGCTGCCAGAACCTGTAGGTTTGCAAGTAAGAAATGAGCAGTAGTCATCAGTAGGTCTATGAAAACTCTGTAGCCCTGGCACAAGTAACATTAAAAAAAAAAATCATGGGGTTGTGAAAGCTTCATGAAAATAAATTCATCTTCCTAGAAACCTTAGACACCTTTCTCAGGACTTTTTGCAACCCTTCCACCACACTAATGCAAGAATTGTGGAGGTTTACAGGCATTAGAGAAGAAATATTACAAGACTCTGATTCTTTGGTTCATTGCATATTTAGATGTATTTAAAGATGTTCTGTGGGTGCCCAGGGCAAAATAGCGGTGGGCAAACCGGTGTGATAGAGCAAATGTAGTATTTCAATTCCTCTTTTTTTTCCCCTTCAGAATGCATCTTTGTCAGGAAAGATGAATTGTATTTCTGATATCCACAGTCAAGAAACAGTTCTGTCACATGAGACAGTCTTCCCTGTGTTAAATCAAGATTTTCAAAAAAAGCCAGATGACTGTGTTGCTAAGGTCTTCATCACAGCTCGCGAGAGCATTTTGACAGTACCGAGATCAACGAAAGCATGTAGTGACCAGGGAGAAAAGACTCATCTACTGCTGACTGCAGAAAATGACAAGTATCAGGCCTATAATGCTGAGCCACAGACTTTTGTACAAGACATGTTATGTGACATGGACAAGAAAGAGGATAAAACTGGAAGAAAGCAACTGGAAAAAGAGCAGTGCATAAAAGAGCACAGTCCTAGTTTTCAGGATGATACTCAGGATGAAGGAGATCTTAGCTCCTCAAAATTTGAACGTCATTTATATTTTAGTACAGAACGCAAAAAGGTGAATGTAACCTTCATTGAAGTGAGTGATAAAACCCCTGAAGTCATCAGAGGTGAAGATGAAGGTGAGAGATGTCTGGCTGAAAAGGATGTTGGATATCATGGAAGTGCACATCGAGGTCATACAGGATGTGTTAAAGGACCATGCCGGGGAGAGGAAGTGGTCAGTGAAGATGGTACCTTGCTTGCAGTGAATGAGGTGACAAACAGGCAGAAGTGCTGCCAAATGGATGGTGATTCAAAAAATACAAGATGCTTCCCCAAAACGGGGCTCCTGGAAACTCCACAGCGGGGCTCAGCAGTGCAAAGTGGGAGCAGTGCCTCTTCAAGATGTCCCCTGCGAGTATCTCAGAGGCATCCCTCCTACCTAGCGGAAGGGCCTGGATTAAGTTCATCTGAAGGTCAAGAGACTGGTAGTGTAAGGGAGATGTTAGGTGCTAACAAATCAGAACAGGGAGACACTGTCCAAAATGGTGAAATGGCTTCTGCTCCTCTGAAATCTGTTACTGTTCAGATGTCTTCAGGACTGGAGTTTACTTCAAGGGTGAAGTGCACAGGGCAAAATGCTCCTGTCAGTGAGGGCCTTGCTAGGGAAGATCATGTGGACTTCTCCGACGTGTTAGTGCACTACTCTGAGAGTGGTCCTCTCATACGGTCAGACGCAGGGGCTTTGAAGGATGGTGTGAAGAAGACCACCGAAGCCTCCAGCCAAACTGACATCCATGCCGAGAAACCCAGGTGGCCACTGCTGCTCCATCCACCCCATAGTCACCTGACAAAATCAGCTTCTCTTGACACCCTGCTCTGTGGCAAATACAGCTCACGCTACTGGGGGGAAGCCTCTGGCGCTGGGGGTGCACAGGCCAGTCACTGCTGTCACTGCTGCTGCTGTCACGGCTGCTGCCTGTGGACCTTCCCCATAGGTGTCTCTCCCCATCACCCTGTGGGCTGCTACTCAAACCACGCCTCCACTGAGCTGCAGCTTTTGAAGATGCTGATGCTCCTACAGGACACTGCAATGCATAATCTTGCTCCGGTGAGTAGGCTTCTTCTTACACATGGGCAGCTGACACACATGAGCTCAATGCACAGGCTGCCTTTTCATTTTCTCTCCTGCCATGCTCGCTTCTTTAGTGAGACATATCTTGGGAATGTAACTGAGAAAATGGATGGGGAAAGAAGCATTCCATTCTGGGCAAAAATGGCAAGCATATCTGTGTACCTTCAGTTTTGTTGGGCTGCTTCTTTTAGTAGCTTATGTACGTTGGTTCAGTCTTAAAATGCTTACTGCATTTTCAGTGGGTGATAAAGTTCACAGCTCAAATGAAGAGCTGAGAGATGAGAATGGGTTTCCGTGAGTTCCTGTGAATCAGCTGAGTTACAGTAATTGAGTAGCTTACTGGACTGCAGAAAACGCAAGGTTACATGATTTAGTGTAATCCTCTTTTACTGAGAGCCCATTTAGGTTATATTACTTAGTGTTTTTTAAAGACTGTGAACACCCAGATACATACCATAAGCCAAACTGCTCTAGATCAAAGCGAATTGCGACTTCTCAGAGCCTCAAGCCATTTCACCATGATAGAACACAAAGCTTGCATTAAAACTAAAGTCCTGCTAAGATGAGTGTTTGCAATAAAAATACTGATAGTGAAAAGTCACCAGATTTTTATTTCTTTGTTCAGAATTGCTGAGAGTTCCCAAAAGTTGTGAAAGACTCAGGCCGTGTTGGGGAAGAAAGCAAGGAAAGGAATCAGGAGTGGCTTCTGCATCCTGAGAAAAATGTGGAGGGAACAGCTGGTTTGCAGGCGTCTCCATTTTTCCTCTTCTCTTTGCTCTTCATCAGGAAATGAAACTTGAACTGTTGTACAAATTGGGGAAGAAAATTATTAGATAAAAGTTCCAGAAAGTGAAAGTGGTGAGTTTTATGCTGCCACACCACTGAATATATAAATCTGCAATGTCTTTGAGCAGTGTCTTGGAAAATACGCCTTTTGTCAGCTATCTTGCTGTTGCCACGAGATGGCAGTGAATCAGTACCTTATGCTGGGTTGGGAAACCTGTTCTCATTGATTGACCACTCTTTTACCACTCTTCTAACGGGGGCCAGTAGCGATTTGTCCTCTCTAGTCTGTGGACAGGGAATATAGGAGGAACAGAATTTGCACCGTACTGTTATCCAAGATCTGTTCTTAGGGATATGGTTCCACACCCAAGTGACTGTGCAATAAGTGAGTGAATTTACTGAATATTAGCCACTCTGCAGGGATTACAACTATGCCTACTTTGTATGCATTAAATGTAAGGTAGTTCGTACATCTTTTACTGAGAGAAGCTCCCTCCCATTTGCTGAGGGGATGCATGGGGAATGCAACCACCAGGGAGCAACTGTTAAGCAGTAAATTTATCCTGTTTACACGTACCTTGCCTTAAACAAGGTCTTGCCTGAACTCCGAATAAACATATGTGAAATTGTGTTCTGCAATATGCTCAAAGAGTCAGTGCCAGGGAAGCTGTCCATACCTCGTCTATAAGGGCTGACACAACTTTTTACCAAACCCACCCACATTGTGCCTCTTGCATCCTTTGCATGGTGCTTTCTAGATTTTTGTTAGCCTTGAGGAACCAACTAGAAATTTGTCTGTGGCCCATTGACTTCTCCTTAGTGACCTGAATGATGGTAGCTCTTCAAGCTCACTTGGGCACGCTTTTTTGATGGCTAGAAGTTCTCGTTCTGCTCAGATTTGGCAGTGGGTAGAAGAAATTGTGATTACTATGTGGTCACTTCTCACTTGCACCCCCCCAAACTCCCATCTAGGAACAAGCAAACTGTCTAACCCTTTCTGGTGCAATCCCATGGCTGTTGGGGCTAGATTTTTTAATTTATTGCTATGGGATGGTTTATCCCTGGGTCATGCACGTCAGGAGTGTGCCTGACATAGTAGCTGCATTGAAATGGAGATTGAGAATGAGGTTTCTCAAAGGCATGGGGGGCATCTTTTGCCTTCTAGCTGAGGCTGATCCCCCAGCAGGGAGGGCTTCCTCATGTTTCAGGTCTTGCTGGGACTGAGGGACACATTCAAGCACACAAACATGAAGATATCATCAAAGGACACGATTGTAAGAATCCGAAGAGGTTGGGTATTTCTATGCTTTGCAAACGTGCCTCTTGTTGTCTGTCAGTTACAGTGGTCAGCAGTGGAGTGCAAGTTTCTACACTGTCTTCCCTTACAAGAGACCAAAATCTGCCAAGATGAGAACATGCCAAACACCTTCTTGCACTCAGAGCAGTTTCAGCATAGTAGGGGAGCATGCTTTCAAAAGGCAGATGGTATTGTCTCCAAAATAATTTGAATTATGCTGTCTGCATTACTTCCCCGAGCAAGGCGTGAAAAGTCTTTAATGTGGCTAGAAACGTAGACGTTTTGATGTCACTAGTGGGCTGCCATTGTACTACATCTGTGCTACAAAGTAGTAACTTTCAAATCTTACAATTTTTGATGTACCATTGCTGCTCATTCATCTCCCTTGCCTTGAGACATTCCTGGTGTAGGTGGCTACATCAGGGTAGATGCAGATGATCAGTCATACTAGATACCTTCTCTCAGTGAAGAGTAATGGTCACAGTTATGGCATAGATCCTCTGACCTATTACAGAAGTCTACTATTGGATCAAAACATTTGCCCTGTTGCAGTACTCGCATGTACATCTGTTGCAGTAAATGTCTGCATTTGGTTAGATAAATCTAATTCTAGGTTTCTAACTGGTAATAGATGAGAAATTAACAGTGTAACACTTAGCAGAAACCATCAGGAAAGACACTTTTCCTTCTCATAGTTCTTATATGTCTTCCCTCTCTCCCTCTTTCTTCTTTTCAAAACAGTTTCTAACTTCTGGTGAACAGCAGTTTAACCTATCATTAACCCATAACAATTCGTCCTTCTCAAATATAATGTCTGACAACAGTGCAATAACATCGGAATTTTGCACATTGCATCAGATCTTTGATCAAAGTCCTTTTCCTCTTCAATGGCAAAAATGAAATTCTCACTGGCTCGAGTAGTGCCAGCACTTAATCCGACATGCTTTAGGAGAAAAAGTGGTGACTGGGATGCAAGTGATGCACCCAGAGCAAACTCACTTGAAGTGCCATCTGGAATTTCATGGCAGCTGCTCATAAAGTCCCTGTTGTGTCGGTAAGAGGAGGACCCATGCTGTCCAGGCTGTCAGCTTCAAACACACTCAACATGGAAGTGCTCAAAGAAAAGTGGTAAAGTGGGGTGTCTTCTTGCTTTTCTGTGTAGTGTACCCTCCATGAAATAGAAGTGATGAAGAGCTCCTGCCAGCACTTCCAGGAGAAGCTGGATGAGATTGAACAGCACCTGACTGAACAGGAGATGCTATTTTACAACGCGATGCCAGATGAAGGAAGGTAATGGCAGTCCAACACACCTACCTAAACCCCAAACTAGCATCAACAACAGCCCATGGGTGCATGCAACATGTCTGGTCATTTATGTTACCACAGGACTTCTGGTCAGGGAGGTGCAGCTGTGGGTATCCCACAAGTGGATGAGAAACCTATTGTGATGTGATTTTTTGCTCGAAGTCCAGCTTCTGTCCACACTGTTCAAGGCTCTTCAACACAAGCTTTTTGAAGGGGAAGATTGCTCCATAGATGTAGGCTGGATTTTTAGTCCACAACTGGGATAATAAAAAAAAAAAAAGAGAGTCAAGCAGACAAGGGCTGTTATTTATTATTTTGTAAGGTATCCTGTGATCATGGGTAAAAACAAGACCGCGACATAGGGAGATACAGGCATTATGCTGGGGCTGAGGAAGAGGAGGGTGTTCACGGCTCACTCAAGTGTGCTTTCACTGCTGTCCCTACAGAGAGGAGAGCAGACACCTGCAGCTCTTGCGGCAAGCTGTTCGTCAGGAGGTTGCAGAGCTGGAATTTCGGCTGAATGATCAAGCTTGCCAGGTCAGGGAGGGCATCCTTATGGTACGTTGCACAAGCCACTGCTCTAGATCACGTGGGGAGAGTTTAAAGTCTGTCCTGCTAACCAGTGTTCAAAGTGTTACCTCTGAGGTACATCTGAATATACCTTTCAGCAGTGGGAACAGGAGGATTTCCTATAACAGACTTACTTACAGTTTACACCTCTGGCTCTCTTTGACTATACTGCTTGAACCCAACCACCCAGGAAAAGTGCCAATAGTTATAGAAGTGACTGTACTTGCCTCTGCTCTATAAAGGTCCTGTGATCTCCAGAATAAAGCAACAGGCAATCGGCCTACAGAATTACTGATAAATGGTTACTGGTCTGGTTCTTTTCTGGAACAGCTCTCCATTTAATAAGGAAAGGCAAAGAAAACATCATCAGACTATCTGTTACTTGTCTTTGATTCTTCCCTGACAAACTTGGGTTAGAGGGTCAAGACTGCAATGGTCACAGGTTGAAGTCTGTTTGGAGTTTTTCCATTAGGAAATTAGATCATATGTTGGAATCATATGTCCTTTAGGTCTTTCTCCTCCTTTTTATGGCAACATCTCCTCTGCCAGATATTGCATGTCTTCTTCGGACCAAGCAGAAGAAGCGAGCATGCTTCATATACTCTTGTGTATCATGCTTGATTCTTTTTATTATATTTTTATTACTGCAATATGCTTTTCCTTCTATTTTCTCTGCAGCAGCTGGACCAATTACTAGTAGAACAATCCCATCTGTTTTCCGAGCTCGGACTCTCTGATTGGAAGGGAGAAAGAAGAGCCCAGAATAAACAAGCGTTTCCAGATGCCGCTGACACTGAGCATCCTCAAAGTGGGTGCTCAGAAATGGTGCTCCAAAGCTCTCCTAACAAAAATACCACAGCAACAGGGTCCCTCTCTGCCCTGCTGTCAAGGGCACCCCCAATGCAATTTACTACCAGGACAACACCTGAGCTGGATTCAGCAGAGTCTGACCCACAGGAGCTCTCCAGCAGTAAAAAGGAAATAAAAGGACCTCCCCAAGCAAAAAAGGACTTTAAGGCATTTTTACACAACGTAAGGAGATGTTTCAGTCTCACCCTCAGGGTTTTAAGTGGAAGGGATCGCTGACCGGCAGTGCAATTTTACTATTCTGTGTCTCATTGCCACAGCCTAGGTCAGGACCCTTTCCCACTAAGCTGTGCATTCATCCGAAGGGATGAAGCCTGTGTTTCAGGGCGCTTTCAGTCTCCATAGGCAACACAGGTAGAACTGGGACTGGACCTGCTTTGATATTTCTCAGTGGGCTGTGGCAACGATCTAGATGCTCCAGAGAGAGGAACGTATAAATACATGGGTGGTATTTGCCTGGCTTGCTCGATCTTTGAATGCAACTGTTTCACTAATGATTATACTCAATCCTCTCCCACCGTGTGAAATTAGTAATTTATAGCTTCAATTTGTGGAGACAATTATCCAGCTTTACAAGGGCAGTCAAGGCAATGAACTGGAAGGTTTGTTGTTTTTCTGAAGAAATTCTAAGTCAGCATTTCTGACTGATCTGATCTCACAATGTAACCATAAAAAATTGTTTGCCTGCCTTTCCGAGTATAGAATATGCCTAGAAGATCTCCTAGATAGCTGCCTTATTATTTAATGGTGCCTCCCACCTAAGCATGTGTCCCTATTTTTAAAAGATTGATCATTCTCTTAAATGAACAATTAGGGTTAAATTCTGCATAAACTTCATGTAAACACCATGGGAGGCAATTCTCTTTATTGTGGTCTTACACTACTTTCTTGATTTATGTTGATATTACCACTGATATTATCAAGCAGAATCAGGTTCTTTAGTGCACAAATCAAAGAATGAGAACCATAAGCAGTGAGGAGCAATGAATTGAAATATTTGAGATAATGTTTTGCCACCTTTTGCACCCATTTCCTTTTAAGGCTAGTCTTGGTCATTCTCTCAACATACAAAGAAAATAACACTTTTTTCCCTTTTTTTCCAGTTGAAGAAATCTTTCCGAAATTCTTTAGGTAATGATCCAGCAGAAGGCAAAGACTGACGGAGGACAGACTGATGGATTTTATTTGTAGTAATTGTGGCCTTTTTCCTGAAATGCATGGTATATCACAGAAACAAATGAACGCAGCATTGCATTATAGAAGGTTCTGATCACAGCAGTCTCATTTGCAATGAGACGACTGGCCAGAAAAGCAGGTATTTTTAAAGGATGCTTTGAAGAGAGGTGCTATGCATTTTGCTATTCTGTGATTGCCAGTAGGAGCGTACTAAGTTTTGCAATCACATGGGATAGGGCTGTTCTTTGCAAAGACATTTAAAAGGAAGAGGGGTGGGCTTATTTTTGAGGGGGTGGTGTAGAGCCTGAATTCATGCAGAAAAAGCCATGAGAAAAGACCTCTCACGTTTGGATCACAGCAAAGAAATTCAACTGGTTCGGTTTCAAAGCAGTGCGGTTTGTACCACCGCTTTCAATTTAGCACTTCCCAATTGTTTGCCTGCCTTTCCGAGTATAGAATATGCCTAGAAGATCTCCTAGATAGCTGCCTTATTATTTAATGGTGCCTCCCACCTAAGCATGTGTCCCTATTTTTAAAAGATTGATCATTCTCTTAAATGAACAATTAGGGTTAAATTCTGCATAAACTTCATGTAAACACCATGGGAGGCAATTCTCTTTATTGTGGTCTTACACTACTTTCTTGATTTATGTTGATATTACCACTGATATTATCAAGCAGAATCAGGTTCTTTAGTGCACAAATCAAAGAATGAGAACCATAAGCAGTGAGGAGCAATGAATTGAAATATTTGAGATAATGTTTTGCCACCTTTTGCACCCATTTCCTTTTAAGGCTAGTCTTGGTCATTCTCTCAACATACAAAGAAAATAACACTTTTTTCCCTTTTTTTCCAGTTGAAGAAATCTTTCCGAAATTCTTTAGGTAATGATCCAGCAGAAGGCAAAGACTGACGGAGGACAGACTGATGGATTTTATTTGTAGTAATTGTGGCCTTTTTCCTGAAATGCATGGTATATCACAGAAACAAATGAACGCAGCATTGCATTATAGAAGGTTCTGATCACAGCAGTCTCATTTGCAATGAGACGACTGGCCAGAAAAGCAGGTATTTTTAAAGGATGCTTTGAAGAGAGGTGCTATGCATTTTGCTATTCTGTGATTGCCAGTAGGAGCGTACTAAGTTTTGCAATCACATGGGATAGGGCTGTTCTTTGCAAAGACATTTAAAAGGAAGAGGGGTGGGCTTATTTTTGAGAAGAAACTTAAGAACTTGCAGACAGCCCAGGAGATACCACTGGAAGGTATTTCTCCTTATAGCCAGTTATTTTAACACAGTCCTTCAACCAATATTAATCCTCAAGGCCAAACTACCTTGTATAGTCCTAGCTACTTTCTAGCTTTTAACTTGCTACTAACTTGCCTCTGACTAATTTTGTGAGACCTGTATCTACTGCCAGTATCAAACCAGAAGCTTACTGACAGCACATAAAATGTAAAATACCCACCACTGTCAAACTGTTCCTGTGGATAATCTCCTGGCAGTCCTCTTCCTTTCATATTTGCTTCACATAAGTCCAATTAAAAACAAAATGAGATTAGAAACACAAGATTTTCTACATTATAAACCTTGAATCAGGATCCCTGTTCAGTATTCTG